ACCAAGGTGTGTATTTTAACCCAAATAAGAGTGAAGGTTGACTTTGTTGCCTCGATGAGCTTTGTAAGTTAGCTGACTAAGATCAGCCGTGATACAAATGATAATAATAACCTAAGGTGGCGTAGGCCTACCCATCCCAAATGATAATAAGTTATAACTTACTTGGATTCGCCCAAACCACCACTCAAACTGCCTAATAACCCTTAAATTTGTAATCCTTAGGTTAATTTCATATCCCGGACACTCAGGATCAAACAGTGTTTAAGTTTATAACTCGCGTAAAAAATCAATTTTCAATCGGTAAAACATTTAACCCTAGATGGGTACAGTATTGTACATAAACTTAACGTAGGGCAAGTTATTTTTAGTGCCCCACCCCCCACCCTCTCAACTGACGCTACCCTCCTTCCAGCAGTAGGTACTCTCAGCAGTCATTTGCATTGTGATGCCTAAGTAACTTAGTATAAAAATGAAAGTGGTCTGCCTTTTTTGATAGAATTCACTAGCGTAGGCCTAGGTAAATTATGTCTACAAACAAAGCTGGACTGAAGTTTACACATAGGCTAGCCTACCTCGAATTTAACTTAGGGCTAGCTACAAGACATTTAGGCCTAAGTAATAAAAATCTGTTCAAAGCCTTAACTTAAGCCTAGGGCCTATTTACCTACAAATGTTAAGTCCAGGATTTAAAACAAGGTCCTAACTTACTGGCTTACACAGGTAATATTTAAACACAGGCTCAAGCCTAAGTTAATTTTACATGGCCTTGATACAGGGCCTGCTGTAATGTAGGGCCTAATCATAAGATAGGAAGCCTAAGATATGATTGTAAGCATTTTTAAGCTTAAATAATACAATATCAATGGGAATCGTTAGGCTATTGTAGGAATGAGGCAAACTTTGAAACATTTAGGCCTAGTCTGGGCTAATTGTGAAATTGGAGGCTCAATTGAAAAGGATGGTGGATTGTTCGTGATATATTTTTAAAAATGAGAATAGAATTAGACTTACCGGGAATGCTCTGATCCGCATTTTGCCCTCTTTCTTTTGATGCCCGCTTTTCAACATTTTGAAGAGAAGAATTACAAACCAATTTATTCCCTTTCACTTCAATCTAGCTACCACTTCACCTCTACAGGCCAACTTCATACAAGAATTTAAGGCCTACGAATAACAACAATAGATTATCCTAAATCAAAGTAACGGAGCTGCATTTTGACACAAATGAATTACTTTCCCAATTACCGAGAATAGTTCAAGAACAGCATTGATTAATTATTAATTTATGGCAGATTTTGGTCACACAATATCTGCAGAATAAACTTGGACGAAAATACCATTACCATTACGGATTACCACGGACTATGGCACAGCAGCAGAGCAGCCAGCAGCTCAGCTCAGCAGCTAGATAAATTGCATAGCAGAAGCAGAACCAGCAGAAGAATTTCATTTTCATAAAAACTGTATTCATACCAACGGTTATATTATAAAGCCTAATATATATATGGTTATGCATAATGGCTTGACATGATATTTGTGGATTTACATTTAATTATTTATATCAACGGTAATATTCCAATAAATACAATCTATAATAAGATAAATAATATATTCTTTGGTAAATAAATATGACCAATAACAATAAATCGAATATGCGTTTAAAATTGTGCTCGGAGCTAAAAATTAGCCGTTTAGTGTTTACAGCATAGACGCTGTTATATTATATTAGGGCACTGTGTGGATATGAAGTGGTCCCACTCTATGCATGATGCCTCGTCCTCGTCACACCATGTCACCATGTCTAAGAAGTCCTCGCCCGCACTTGGTTGAGAGCGGTTTTTGAATGAGCCAATGAGCGGCCAGTGGCCTCGAATTCATCCCGAGAGGAGCCACAGCCACCACTACAAAAAAAAATACACCACTACTGTAAGTGAAAGTGCACGACTTGTTTGCGCGTGCTCCCTCTGCTGCCAGGAGGGGCCGCTTAATTTTTATTTCAGGATTAATATTGCCAACAGTGTCATTTGGAGGCTTCTGATTGGCTGAGGGAACACAGCCATTTATAGTTTTATTTTATGAACATAACTATTTTTTAGATTATACCTTCATTCGATTTTTCTTTATCAGCAAGTTTGGTTAGTGTATGACAGTTTAATTTCATTTAAAAAAATACAAAATTGAATTTGAGGCATTTATAATTTTATTTAATGAACAGAACTAATTTTTTCGATTAGTAAACCTTCATTATAGACAATCAGAAGCCTCCAAATGACCCTATTGGAAAAATTTATCCTGAAATACAAATCGTGTGGAGGGGCCCCTACCACAGCCACGGCCACTTTTAACTCCAGGCTGCGGCCTGGTAGAATTGGCAACGTTGTAAGTGGTGTTGTCTGGCACCAAAACGCTAGACATCCCATAAGACAACATGGTAGACAGGTGATACCTCATTAATTTGGGTATTATTTATTTAAATTCATGAACACAAATGTATTAAAAGATTGAAAATAAAACTTAGAATTGATAACATAAACAATATTTAAATTGAAATATATTTTTGTATATTTAAAGTGGAGTTAATATTTTCATAGTAGCCAAGCTTTCATATTATTAAAAATTACACAAATACCATTGACTACCTCCAAAACAAAACAGCTGTTACAACCCTACTTGTGATGTTGCCACTTCGAGGGCCGCGGCATGGAGTTAAAGGCGGCCGTGCCACAGCCCGGCGCTTGGCGATCTGCTACTACTACTAGTAGTAGTAGTCGTCCTAAAAATTCTGACTATGCCTATACTACTCCTACTCACAGCGGATGCGCAACACCACACAGCGCCTTTTACGGGCAGTTGCCATGATCCTAATCTGTTAGCCTTCACACTTTTTTAACCCACGACTCTTCCGATCATAAAATATTGTCATAAAATACTTTACGACATTAAGTAATAACTTACGACTTTCCTTTTATTAATTTAGGGATATAAAATAAATAACTGCAAGCCATTAACCGTTTCATAGGGTGTTCGGAAAAACCGTCCGATATTTTAAGGTGTTCTTATAATTTATTGCACATGATATTAAAATAAACAAAAAGTTTTCATAATTGATAATATCTACTAAAGCCTTATAGTTTTCTGTTTATAAATCTGTATATGTGTTTTTACATAAAATACACTATAAACTGAAATGAATTATTTATTTCCCATTAATCTTATCTTACTAATATTATAAATGTGAAAGTTTGTGTGTTTGTTTGAAGTTCAATCGCGCATTACCTACTGGACGGATTGGGCTGAAATTTGGCATGATGATAGCTCACATTCCCGATTAACACATAGGCATATTCTGATCTCAAAAATACTTTCGGGCTCCGCCCCAGTGGCTCTGTAGTTCCCCATGTTAACCTTATGAGTATTCATATTTAAAGGGAATTAAAGAATTTAGTCAGCTGTTTCAACAAAAAAAGTTGGTTCTATGATATACAATAAAGCATTAAAAAGTTTTACCAACAGGGTGCAGCACTATATTTTTTCGCATTTATAAAAACAGCTAATTTGAATTAAGCAGCAACAAAAAACTGTGATACACAATGAGAACTAACTGTCAAAGTACATATTGTTTACAGTTATGTTTATGTTTTTAATTTCATGAATAGTTTGTGATATTTTGCAAATTTTTGATTATTCATTTTTTTCTATTAGGTGAAGTGGTAGAAAAGCAGCGGATATATCCGCCACCCGTCTTTGAAGATATGACCATGACAACGCTAGGCAATAAATAAAGAACAAAATGTCAACAATAAATAATGACAACGTAGTGTTGAGCGCGAAACGTCGAGGGGCGAGCGTAGAAGAGGTGGGTGTTGTGCAGGAGTGGGTGCAGCCATGGAGAGAGCGGGAAAGTGGCGCCTTGGTACCGCGGAACATCTGGTTACTTACTGCTCAAGCACCTGCCAGTCTGTCTGAAGAGAAGGCGGATACATCCGCTTCCCGTCCAGAACATCAAAAACAATAAAAGGATATATCCACCTCTCGTCCTTTATCGCCAAAGACTTAGGCGGATATATCCGTCACCCCGTCATTTAATAATATTTTAATAATATATCCCGTCACGTGAAGGGTTAAGGTGTCCGGAGGCAAATGGAATTAGGCTGACTTCGCAGGGGATTGTGCTTAGTTAGTCGGGGGTATTTATTTACTTATCTGGTGGATTGTTTTTTGTTTGTTTTTCTGACATGTGTATATAACAAGCTGCTGATAGTTCATTCAGTTATTCTTCCACTTTATCCTTTGCCTATCACCATCCGTTTCAATCGACCATAAGCATGAAGGGTCTAGGCTTAACTGGCAAGAGAGTACTTTTGACTTTTGTTACCATGCTGTATATTTTATTGGTTCTTATCAGAAATATCTTAGTCTAACAACTCAAAATCTTTGTGAGAGTTTATACACCAAAGGATGAACCGATGAACGACCCAGCCCGTCAAGATTCTGAATGGTCTTAATTTTCCAATGCTCTTTGAAACATCAATTTTATTCAAATTCAAACATATTACTTTATTTAAACTCATAGCTCTTCAGATACACATCACAAAAATAAACACATTGACATTATTTAATTGACCCTATTTATTGTATAACTTGTACTGTAAATGAATAAAGAGAATTTGCAAGATTACTAAATCAAAACCTGCACTCCTAACAAAGCCCAAAATTGTTAAGGGTGTTCATTTAGTTTTGAGAATGGACTATTAAAACTATTTTAAGGATGAGGAAGCTCCTATCCATTTTATCAGTAAAAACGCTGTACATTACTTGCAAACAAACATGATTCTTAACCAATAAAACCCTTTAAGAATAAATATATGATAATCTCATGCCTTACAGCACAGCTCTAGAAAAGTGCTTTACGAGCAAATAAAAAAATCTATGATCTAATTTCTAAAGATTTTTATTTCAGGTGGTTAAGGATTGTTTGGAAAGAAAATACCATGCCAAAATTGTGATCAAGTGCTTTATTAAAAATATAAAACAATAAATAAAATTGTTACAATACATTTTAAAAATATAAGCTGATTCTCTGTGTAAAAAGAGACTCATTTGGACGGAGTAAATCTGTAAAAACTATAATACTAAGTTTCTAATTCTAAGGTACATAAAAATAGTTAATAACAATACGTTACACAAAGTCCAAAAGCTCGTGAACAATAGGTATTTTACATTTTGAAAGAGTTTTATTTTTTCTTTATAAAACAGTGTTATCTTGAAAAATCTAACACAATGTAATACTATACACTAATGATATATCTACAGTGTTTAAGTGTATGGTAGGCCTACTTATCAAAAAGAAAACGTATCTACTTTGAGAGGTTGAAAAGAAATGTATGAATAGTTAAAAACTTTAAATTTAACATTTTACCATACAAAAAGGAAAAGTAAATAATCTGATATGTTCCTGTAATTAGTTGATAGTTTTCATCCTTCTAAAAAATCTAGCAATTTACCACGTCATTTTAAACAGGCAACATTTAATAACCTTTACTTCCATAATGTTAACATTATATTAAAAACATTGGTATAGTACGATATAAATGAGCCAGCACTAACATGTTGACAAGGGCATACTATAACAATAAAAAAAACATAATTTATGTACAGTACAGTAAAATAGCTTCTCAATTCATTAACTTGATTTGAAATATCTTAAATAAGGAAGGCTTACTTGAATGGGGCCTAAAGCTCACTTACTTAAAGGGTCTAAAGGCCTGCAGCTCTCTCTTCCCATGTTGAAAATTAATGCTGTCAGTGACAGTGTAATAATCTTGTTTTGTTATAAAGTTTTTTGCTCTTGTGCCAGTTTGGACTCTTTCTCATTCAAGTAAGCCTGCCATCCTCACTAAAATTCTAAAAGCTTAAGTTCCTGTGCTCAATGTTACATTCTTAATATAAAGTATATTTAAGCAAAAAGAAAACTACTATAAATAAAACAAAAATAAGCACTCATAAAGGACGGAAGAAAAAGCGCCTAATAATAATCAAACAACATAGTAACTATTTGTTAAAGTTGAAAGTCAATGATAATGATGAAATTAATAAATTTGTTTACAGAACAGAACAAACAAAAACCGATTAAGTTGGAAAAGCATCTATTTTCTAAAAACTATCAATATTAATAACAAGTGCACTGTGACTCTTTTACAGATGACCTATTAATTCTCCAAAAATAGCTTTCAAAAGACTAATCAAACCTTTATACACATTCTCATTAAAGTCAACTTAACAAATATTGTATTTGTATTATAAATCAATACTTACATACATAAATATTACAGTACATATTAACTGAAAATGTGCGAAAAAGTAGCATTTATCAAAATGCTGCAATAAATATACATATAGCATTCTAGACTAAAACTTAACAATACATTTGCTAAACAATGCTAACATGAGAAAAATACAAATAAAATTTACTGAATAGCTAGCTGAACACACATACTTAAAATTTATACAAAAGTATAAACACAATATTTTTACCTAGTCCGACCACATAATACTATTTATGATGTTAGAGTCTGTGATTTAAGGTGATAAATATAACATGTAACAGCTTTGAAAAGCTTGTAATTTTAACATTTACGTTGCTTAGAATAATAAATAGAAGGCATTGTGTGATAAACATATTTTCAAGAAAATTCTTAAATGGAAAGCCAGAGCTAAATGGTCAGAAGAAACGGAAAAAAATTGGTAAAAATGTGAATTAAAAGTAATTTTTATTAGACTATTGAAAAGCATAAATAACATTAAAACTTTTAAAAATCGAACACAATTCACCCAGCACAAACCGGTTTTGAATATCACACAAATACCAACAAACAAAATATGTGTGAGACACTCAAACAACATAAGCGACAGGCAAAGAATCATAGCCGAGCTAAAATATGTGAATATTTTATAGTATACTGAACTACAATGTTATTTTGACTGAATTTTTATAAAACATGATTTTTCAACTTTAAACTAGATTTTGTATGTTAGAGATTACAAGAGTACACATTTTATTAATTTGTTGAAATATTTGTTAAACTTGTACCCACTTAGATTTGCCATCAATTAAATACTGCATTGCTTATAAAGAAGTAATTTAAACAGAGGGCGTTATCCTTATAATTTAGTTTGACACATCACACTTTTATTTAGAACTGTATTCAGTAATAACTCCTTGAAAAAAAATCATATGAAGTATATTTTTTTACTCATTTGTGACTAAAAAATGTATGAAGGCCAGTTACCACAAATTCTTTTCCATAATCACTTACATGTGAAATTCAATTTAACAGTAAAAATTAAGTTCATAATACAGTAAAACCCTGCTAGTCCGACATCGGCTAGTCTTGATTCCTCATTTAATCCGACCGTGCCATCGCCTAACAGTTACAATGCTATTGCAGTAATATCGTGACCATTTTCTTTTGGTCGTATCATCACCGTCTCCCATAAAGTTAGCGAAAAAGTTATTTTTCCACCACGGTCACACAAACATTGTCATCTCTTTCTGCAATTGTGGCTAAATATAGGGAACATTAACATCGTTTTTGGCAATCACGGAAAAATCTTGAACATGCTACTCCTTGGATAGGTAGTCCAACCTTTTCACTGCTCCATACACGGTCCTGGACCTGTAGGTGACGGATTAGCAGAGTTGTACTACTGTAGTGTGACAGATGGTTCTTAACTTGTATACTTATCAACTATCACTTTAATTTAATGTACAAAATTCAACATGTTGTTAATTTTCAATCCAACATAGCATGTTAGCTGAAGAGATTGATAATAACTCTATTATTATTACTGGAATAAAAATATTGATTCTTGATAATGGAAAATGGTACAAAATTAACTACATTTCTTTAGACGGTTTGAGAGTTTGAACAAATCAGTACTAAATAACTCACAAGGTTCAAACTGTTCAGTAAACCCAATTCACAGGAACCCATTGGTGTTCGGTGCTGAGATTGTCCAGAGTTTCAACCACTTCTCGGAAAGTCTGGTCAAAGTCCTCATTGACGATCACCAAGTCAATGTACTTCTCGTAGGCCCTCTGTAAACTGCAGCTCTCTTCTACAGTTCGACGCAGATCGTCTTCCTGGGAAGTAAAGTGTGATATAGAAAAAGTCTTGATAAAGTGTATTTTGTTAAAGAGATTTTTCAAACCTACAAAACAGTTGGTGAAAGTAAACATCTGCTTTTAAATTATATTTATTTGTAAACATTGTAGTTCAAAAATTCTGACATTGGACCCCTTAAAACCCTTTGGGGCAGAGGAGCCCTTCTGACGGATTTGCACCAAACTTCACACAAACCATCTTTGAATAATGTAGGATAATGCCTGAAAGTTTCATTACAATCTGACGAGCGGATTCGGAGTCCAATGGGTATATACACTACATACATACATAATACATGCATACTTACTTCCTCTTTTATTTATATATATAGATGTTGAATATCTGAGCTTTTTAACCAAGTTAAACTGATAGAACAACTTATTGTAAGCTTCAACATTTGTTATGTGCCAGGAACTATATCAGTAGAACAATAAGGACAAAACTAAGGTATAAGGCACTAGCGCAATCTGTGACGGCTCAAATGTCTTAGGATGTCTATTTCAGTCTCCAAAAGTCATTGGTTAAAGTTACAATTACTGCTAAGTGTTTACCTCATACAGCGATGCAAGTGATTCCAGTGTTCGAGCTCTTCTTGAACTGTAGCGGATGGAGCTTTGTCTGTCAAACTGAACAAACACAAACATGCATGAAACAACATCAATCAAACAAAAGTACACAACTTAAAAGGTAAAACAGCCTAAAAAAGTATAGAACATAACGGTAAAATATCAAACACAATTTTTTGTCAAAGATCAAGAGTAAAACATAAGCATCCGACCATTTACCACTTAAATAAATTTAACGCTAAGTTAATAAAGTTGAATTATTTCTACTTGTATGTACCTTTAGATTTATGTTTGATAAGATGAAAATATGGAAAAAGATATTTAATATTGACTATTTTGTAATAGATTTTAACAAAGATTTGACATGAGAATTTCAATTTAAATATCACAAAAGTATTTAGGAAACCTTAGTTTAGCTGCCAATCAATTCTAGTAGTTCTATCTAGGCTACTGGTTTTAAATCGCTCCACAGGAAAATGTTTTCTACTAATTTATTACATTTGCTTTAAGTGATTTAAAGGCTGACAAAATGTAATAATAAAATGTTAAGATATGTACTAGTTAGAGTACAACATTTAAGTAATCATGTTTAAAAGCTTAATGTTATAAAGTTAAAATAGATTTTTTGAAAATGTAATCGACAATAATGAAGTAAACTAATCAGCGTTGGGCAATTCTTTACCAAGTTAAAATTACAAAACCAAATAATAATACACATGCACGTGAATGAAAAAAGACTATACGAACATAACCATTCAAGGATATAATTTAATTCTCACAACAGTCTTACTGAATCAAAAATCATTATTTCCATGAAGTTACCACAAATTTGAAACTGTTACATTAGCTTTTATCTTACAACAGCTTATAAAGACTAATGACAATTTCAACCCGCATGCAATATCACAATGCAGTTTATTTCTATTAATGTTACGGTAGAGGACACTTACAGTCAAATTACGAGATGATGTTCCGGTCGATCGGTTGAAATTGTACAACTGCTTCAGCAACTCCATCCCAGGAGCTGCAATGAAGATGACGAAAGGCATAAACTCACACGAGTTGTGGAGCATCTTGAGAGCCTACAACATAGGAATCATGAATAGGGAGTTGTATTTTTTAATAGTTGTAATCTTTGACACTATTCAAATGTTGTATTATGTATTCTTCTCAATAAATAAATTGAAATGGAAATACAAAACGTCAGACTCGGCTTGAGGAGTAGTTGATCTAATAATAATTACATATACAGTGTTAGTAACTGACGTCACAGCAATTTTTAAAGTCCCAAAATAAGTAAAGTAGTGTTTTTCTGTGTGAATGCGGACGATAGTGTTTATACATGATCACAAACCCATTGTTATAGTAAAATAAGTAGCTGCCACAATGACCTTTTGAATTCACCATAGCGCTTGTCTTTTATTTATTCTAGGTAAGACTTTTTGTTGCTGTGTGCGTCCAGCAGATATTTTTTTCTAAAACCTCTGAATTCATGAGAGATTCAGAAATCATGTGAAATGATTTACAGTTTATCATATTTAAATGTCATAAGATTCACAAGATAAACTGCTCAGTTATATCCTACCGCAGGGCTACAATCCAGGATACACATCTTCCCCTGACGTATGACATCCCGGATGGTATCCAGAGAGGTCCCGTACAGATGTCCGTTGTGCTCGCCATACTCCAGGAACTTGTGTTCCCGAATATCCCTCTCCATGCTCTCCCGGTCGCTGAACCAATAGTTCTCTCCGTTCTCCTCCAACTCTCTCTGCGGCCGAGATGTCACTGGAAAACCAGTTGTGGTTAGTTAGGTATATTTCAAATAAACAACGTTGTTTCAACTGTTCTATGGATCAAAAATAATTAGAATTTTGGCACCATCATCGCCATTAAATGTAAATTTGTGTTTCAACATTTGTAAATTGCTTTAGTAACAGAATCTAGTGTAAAACTCCCAACCTGACTGATAAAACTTCAAAGATATTCAAACATATTTATACATTGAAGATGAAAATAAATGTAATAGATTTTAAATGGTGATCCTTTTATTAACTTCCCAAGACTAAGTCACATCACAGAAGTATGGTTTTCTTCAGAACTCAAATTGATGATTATCAAGAAAAAGGAACTACACAAGCGCTTCAAGCAGAGTCTCGATGACCGAATATATCTCCAGTTTTGCGGTGTTCGAACTATATGCAAGAGGATGACGAGGGAATGCTACTCAGCTTACATCGAGACTGTTGATTCATCTATAAAAACCAATATTCGTGCCTTCTGGAGTTATGTGAATTCTACTAAGAAACTGCCCTCCCTGCCGTCAAGAGTGAAGTTGGATGCTGAAGTTGCTGATAGTCACCAGGATATCTCCAATCTTTTTGCCAAATTTTTCGCCTCTGTTTATAAGTCCCCGTCATCTACCCCACCAGATTATGAGCTTAACGCAATCACCTCAATCTCATCATGTTATGTTAGCTGTTCGGAGGTGGAGGATGAGCTGAATTCACTTGATACAAGCAAAGGTGCAGGACCCGACGACATATCACCACTGGTCTTGAGGTTCTGTAGCAGTGTTTTATCACCTCATATCACCATATATTTCAACTCACTCATGGCTGCTGGTGTCTTTCCCTCAAATCTTAAGAATGGTTATGTAACTCCAATTTTTAAGTCCGGATCTCCTGCTGATGTCAGGAACTATCGCCCTATTGTTATCCAGTCCACATTAGCAAAGATTTTTGAATCGCTTGTGCTGAAGAGATTGTCGTTCGCTCTGAAGAGTGTGATTAATGCAGAACAACATGGATTTATGAAGGGACGCTCAACCACTACGAACCTCTTGTCCTTCCAGAGTAATGTTACTACTGCCTTCTTAAATTCCCACCAGATTGACGCTGTTTACACGGATTTCTCCAAGGCCTTCGATCGAGTTAGCCACAAACATCTGATTGCTAAACTTAGAGCCATTGGAATAAATGGACCCCTTCTAATGTGGTTAGAGAGCTACCTCCAGGATCGGTTTCTTCAGGTGCGAGTGGCTGGCTCGTTGTCTCAACCATTTCCTGCTATTTCCGGGGTTCCTCAGGGATCGCTTCTGGGCCCGGCCTTGTTCACCATATTTATCAATGATTTGGTTCAGCATTTGGATTCAAATGTACTGCTTTTTGCTGATGATGCCAAGATCTTCAGAGAGATTTCACATGTGAGAGACTGCGAGGCTCTACAGAATAGTATTGATTTACTGTCAGTGTGGTGCCAGATGAATGAAATGTCTTTGAATGTCTCAAAGTGCTCTGTGGTAACCTTCACCAGATCTAATAATCCTATTATTCATCCGTATAAACTAGCAGATCAGCAACTTCAACGTTCTTCAAAGGTCAAAGACTTAGGCATCATACTCTCTCCTGACCTCAATCCTCAAGAGCACATTAACTACATTTGCAAGAAGGCCAACTCAGCACTTAATTTCATCACCAGGGTCAGTCATGACAGATTTTCAGTATCGGCACTGGTAACTCTTTATATCCATCTTGTTAGACCCATACTTGAGTTTTCCTCCACAGTTTGGAATCCGTACCAGTCTGGTCAGATCGCCAGGCTGGAAAACACTCAAAGCCGTTTTGTTCGCCTGGTTGGTCTACGTTTGGGGATGCAATACCGTGCTGTTCCTGTTCATGATCTGCAACTCCAGTTGAACCTGTTGCCTCTTTCTACCAGACGTGAGGTAAATGATGTCTTATTCCTGAAGAAATTGATCACATCCTCCATTGATGCTCCCGACCTGCTCTTGGAACTAGACTTCCGCACATCACGTAGCCTTCGCCATACCCAGCTGTTTGCGAGGCGGCAGTACTCAACTCAGTACATGTACCACAGTGCACTTCCTCGTCTGCAACGTCTGGCAAACAACCTACCTGGTCAATTGGACTTGTTCAGCATGAACAATGAAACGTTTAAAAAAAAACTCGTTAGCAGCTTGCGTTCCTCGTAGATTTATCATTATTGTTTTGTTGTTCTTGTCCGTGTTATGCTTCATTGTTACTTTTTATATTTATATTTATATTGTTATTTACTATATTTTGTTATATTTATTTCCTATTTACATTGTTGTTGCTTGTTATATCGTTATATCATCTTGTTATATCTATATCTTGTTATATCTATACCTTGTTATTTCTTATATCTTTTTATATCTTATATCTTTCTGTTATCATTGTTAATCTATTTATTGAATGTACTTCAAGTTGGCTAAAATTTCATCAAAAATGTCTATTTTTTTTTTTTAGTCTTATGTAAGTTTTGTCATATTTATGTATTGGTTTGACCGTTGGTATAAATAAATAAATAAATAAATCACAGAGAAGATAAAGAGGAAAAATTCAATGGTACATTAAAGTGGTGTCTATGGCAAAGTTCAACATCAACCCCCTTCGCCTTTATGTACAACAACGCTCACGGTGGAGGAAAACCTTGTGCAATAGGAATTTTTGCAGGGTGCTCACCGCTAGGGTTCTTCCTTGCACGTTACAAATATATTTTCATCACTCCTCGCCGAAAGTAACTATTTTGATAGCAGCTGTCATCAATGAAAGTAGCCGTTTCCCAAGCTCAAATTTAAGGCGAGGGAAAATCGATCAGCTGATTTTCCCTCGCTCTCAATTAGTTCTCCATTTACTCGCTACACGCGCTAGAGTTTTGTTACGGTTTAATTTAATGATTTGAAACAGCTGTTTTTATTGTTGCATAATCTAAATCTATCTATACAGAAACAGGCATTTGTTTGTTTAGTGCATGTTTGAAATTGCTCAAAGTATGTCTAACATTACTGATGGTTTTATGAAAATAGCTTCACATTTACCGGATAAATCACGGGAAGGATAAGAAGAGGAATACAGAAAGCTTAGACACTGGTAGAAAATACAAAATGTTAAGTTAATTAACGTAAGTGAAGATGTATTTATTAATGCACTTATTTAAATAATCTACAAATTATGAAACCATATATGTAAGTTGTGAAGTGTATTTTCAATGTTAAATAGTGGTCTAAAACTTTTTTAATACTACTGAGATGTGTTATTCTGCATGTGTGTATTTTTGCATCCTGATGAAAAGTATTGTTCATAACTCGTACCAAAAGCTTTTTTCTGACACTTGCTCCATTATTCCCGTCCTCGGCTTTGCCTCGCACGTGAAATTTGGTTTTCCTGTGTTCGGATTTGCCTCACACATGAAACTTGAGCATGCGTCGGAAAATGCTGCTTTCGGTCCTAGTAATGAAATATACTATTCCAGTACAACATACTAGAGCTGAAAGCGCACGGTTCTCCCATAAGAAAGGTTTCTCTGTACCTTACATCTCTCTGGTCACATTTAAACATCTATGATTAGTACTTGTGTAACCATTGAGAAGATCTGTTGCATTTATATTATGATAATGTTTATTGACTTTAACCCTCTGCACTCCGACGTCCGAATTATCGGACGTTGTAATTTCGGCCAAAAACTCCGTGGTCTGAAATATCGCACGTCAGCAAAATCTCCCAAAAAATCTGACGTCCGAAAAATCGGTCATCAGTAAAATCGATCGTACTGGCTATATAAATAGTCCAAACGCGCTAATATTATGACATATTTGTTAGAAAGAGTTGTGAAATATTACTCTATGCTTTTTTTCTCCTACGTAGCTGTAATTTTTTGCTTGTCATCTTTTGTTTTTGTGGTCTATGGCGCTGGCCGGCTGACGCAATCCAGCTGTCTGCAGTAACTGGGAGGTCGGTGTTTGTTTGCTGTTTGCATTGTTGTTGTTTATGTTTACTGCTAATGTTTCTGTTTACAGTTGGTTTTTGAGTAAAATTTTAAGCTTTTATATATTTAAGTTTACAATGGAAGATTCTGACAGTTCTGATGAAGATATTTATAATAACAGACGCAGACGACAATCACCAGTTAGTGAAAATACACTGTTCAGAAACGTAGTGGAATCTGGTGTTGGTGTTTAAGATGACTTGAGTGACAGTTTTGTGGAAAACATATCAGATTCTGAAACTTCTGATAGTGAAAACGAAAGTGATGTTTTGTGAGGTTTTGATGATGATACTGATGAAGACCCTGACTATGTTTTATCAGAGGAAGAAAGTTCAGATGAAGATGCTCAACCTACAAAATATCGTGATAGAAATATGCCTTTTGGTAGGCCTAGTGACATAGCTGAAAGTAGGCCTGTTGAGTTTGTAATTTCGAATTCAGGTAGGCCTAGTCCTAACCTAGCTTCAAATGGTAGGCCTAATCCCTCAACTAACCAATTGCATGATACCCAATTGCATTATACCAATAATGTAGATTTAATCCAAAATGTCCTTGAAGAAAATGTAGGCCTAAATGAGCCCCTTTTGAACAATGAAGTAAATGTAAATGCACCCCTTTTGAACAACGAAGTAAATGTAAATGAACCCCTTTTGAACTTGAATACAGTACATGCTACTAGTCCTGTAATCCAGCTACTAGGAGGTCACGAATTGTGGATATTTATAGGAAAGCACTGTGGATGCGATACTCCCTGGTGTGGATTAACGTCCGCACGAGTGAGTACTACGACTATCCGCAGTACTATCCTGATAATTAGACCAATTCGTATATACCAATGAAAAATGTGGTTCGGATTCCACTATAAACTGTAGGTCCCTTAGTTGCCATTAGCTGTATGGGCTATTAATTAACAGCTGTGTCTAAGGAATGTCGGCCTTAGTCACTAACAAGACTACAAGATCGCGCCACTCATCCTACACTCATCTCCATTCATACTTGGCTTAAAATACCTACTATGTAAGGTCGCCATTTCATTGAACAGTATTAACAGTATTGAAGATGTAATAAGAAATTCCGAACGTTGTGAAACCCCTAACCCTGACCCTGATATTCCACCAGATATGGACCCTAGTGAAGAAGGATGGAAACCTGTCCATGAAAGTGATGACCCTGGATTTGACCATGACATTTTATTTTTCGAACAACCTGGTCCAAAGCACTGTCCTCCTCGTGATTCTGAACCGATTGATTATTTTTATTTATTTTTCACGGTTACAATCCTAACAAAATTCGTAAGAGAAACTAACAGGTATGCTAATCAGTACATCGAATCACATCTACATAATTTGACCCCTAATTCTAGAGCCCACCGGTAACACTAGCTGAAATGAAGGCATTTATTGCAGTAATTTTTAATATGGGCCTAAATAGGAAACCGACAATTCAGAGCTACTGGGCAACATCTGACTCCCAATATACTCCCTGGTACGGAAAGATGTTTAGTCGATCTTGTTTTGAAAGTATTATTCAATTTTTTCATATGGTAGACAATTCAAATTTGCCTAAAATTGGGGAGCCTGGATATGACCCGTGTGCACAATTTTTGCCCCTGCTAGAAGCCGTCAACAGACTGTTTAGGCTGTACTACACACCACACGGTGAGTTGTCGGTTGATGAAAGTTTGATCGGAACTAAATCAAGATCTCAGTTGTTGCAATACCTCCCAAACAAACACCATCACAAATGGGGTGTAAAGTTATGGATGCTGTACGATTCCATTTCGAGGTATCGCCTTGCGTTTTATTGTTACAAGGGAACAAAAAGTACTGGACAGAAAACCACAGGCCTAGCCTACAAAGTTGTCCACAAACTGCTTGAGATAGGCCAGTATCTGTACAAGGGTTACCATGTTTTCATGGATAACTTTTTTACTAGTATCCCTTTGGCTACAAGTTTGTATGAGAAACTTACATTCATCACCGGCACCGTACGAAGGAATAGAAAAGGCATTCCATCTAAACTAAAAGAAAAATTTGACATTGGCCAAAAGACCTACATGAGAAATGACCATCTTTTATTTTTAGGCTTCAGAGAGAAAAAAAGTCAGAAAAACCCAGTTATTTTATTATCTTCTAAACATACTGCTAAGTCTATTGAAAAAATAAAAAAAAGAACAAATGATAATTTAGTAAAAGAAATTCCTGAAATGATTGATGCATACAACCGTTTCATGGGTGGTGTTGACGGCAATGATCAAATGATGTATTGTTACTTGGATGAGAGACGCACCCTAAAATATTGGAAAAAAGTCACTTTTAACATATTTGCAAGAATCCTCCTAAATGCCTATATAATTTACTCAGAAATTACCAGCGGAAAAGTAATTTCAAGATACCACTTTACCATTTCTATTATTGAGGCGCTGTCTTCACAGTGGTACGAAGAAAAGAATCCTAGAAGAGCCCAAAAAGGATGGTGGCGATGGACCAAATAACAAAACTCAATTTGACATCACATCTTTACCTGGAAGACAGGAAAGGAACTGCTGTGAGTGCAGTCCTCTTAGCACAAGAATGGGAGGCAAGAGGAAAAAAAGCCGTACAATATGTGTTCGTTGTGGTAAAGGACTACATGGCGTTTGCTTCGGCGAACATAAATGTACCAAATAATAACAATTCCTGTTTGTAAATAGTTTTTTTGTCTTGTGTTTGCATAATTTGTAAATAGTTTTTTTTGTCTTGTGTTTGAATGATTGACTGCATGGAATTTTTTATGACTTTTGCATGGCATGTTTTATTGAGTATTGTAAAAATTAATGAGGTTGAATAGATTTACTTTTTGAATATTCTCGACATTTTTATTTCATTTTGCGTTTTCAACAATCATAGTGCTAAGCTAAAGGCCCTACACAAAAACTTATTTTGAGTTTTTTCTACAATATTACTTTTACAATACCATAATTTGATTTTTGGAAGAAATAGTTTGAAAAATATTATGATTTGTGATACAGTCTTGGGGTAACCCTCATTTATCAAGATGCAAGTATTTTGGAGTTCGGACAACAATTTTCAAATTTGCCTACAACTTCTTCATTTTTCAAGGTAGGTGCATGGAACTTGTGGTGTTCAGAACTAAGTAGAGAATTTGAGAATACTAACATTATATATGGTCTCAATGGTTTTTCTTTTAGATATACACATTCAAACAATATTTTTCTAAAAATAAGAAATCAAACGTATTATAATTTTAAAAAATTGATATTTGATATGGGTTATTTTCACTTATTTTTATGTAGAATTTCATAGGGAATAAAAGGAAACAAAAAGTATGTCTCTATCTGATCAGACAAGGAAGATACATAAATTTTTCCAAACGCTTACAAAAATTAGTAAAAATGTCTGGAGTTTTTGGCTAGGCCTATCCGGCAAAGTACCGGCATTTTTGGCTAGGACCAAAAAATTTTTGCCGGAGTGCAAAGGGTTAAGATTTTTTTCAAAGGCTTTGATTGTTAATAATCAGAGGTTTTATTTTCTGAGTAAAGTCAATAGTTTTTGATGGTTCAAAACCTAAACTGAACATGGCTGTCCTTGGTCATTGCACTTTCATAAATGGTCCTAACTATAGAAACGGCTGATCTTAGTCAGGAACAACGCTTCACAAATCTCCCTCCATTGAAAACTTAAATTGAATAAGGAGATGGAATAGTTCCCAAGATTTATCTGACTACAAAGTAATAACCCTGACTTTTGGAACCATTCCTTAAGTAAACACTATTTAGATGACTCGAAATAAACCATAACCTACTACATGGTTAATGAACTCACTTGGAATGACAGCAGCAAACTTGTCCGGGTCGCTGTTGATCAGTCTATTCTTGAGTGTGCGCCGGCCGACGCCGTGTGTGCCGACGAGCGCCAGCGTTCGCCGCTTGAATGGCGGCATCCTTGTCACCTCCTCATACAGCAACAGCTCCGCCTTGTCAAACTCACTGTTCATTTTAGACTCGTACATCTGCTTGCGTTTCTTTTTTGAAATCTGAAATTTTTTGCTTGATGAGGATTGACTTGGTTTTAAGATCACATAATCATTGTACTAAAAACCTCTATAGATCAACTTTATTGGGCACTCTTCTGTTGTGCCCACCAAATCAGGGTTTTTCTGCTATATCCATTATACCAGGTTAGGTTAGGTTATTTGTATATTCAAAAATACACTTTCATTTAAAATGTTTGGTTACTTAACCTAACCTAACCTGGTGTGGTCGGTATAACAGAAGAATACCCATTACTGAATATAATCATGTAACATAAGTTACCGATAGGAATAATCGCATAATCGATTCCCACTTACTCTAGTTCCGCAAATGCTGATCTTGTGTACAAAGTCCGCCTCTGGTTTGACAAAAGCTTTCCTCCGCTCTTCCAGTTCCTGTGAAGGCACCAGACCTGCGGGGCCGTCCTGTCCCACCTTCTTGGCTTGCCACCAGTTGGGGTCTTTCGTATTCATGATCTGTCAACACAGTGAAAGTGAGGTGTGGCTATTTCAACATTTTGAAAACCAACACCTTGTTTCTTCAGATTTGAAACTGAACGTTTTATTGAACTTCTTATCTTTCCCCAAAAATAAGGTTAAAACAACAAATACAAAAATGATGTAGTATAGTAAACTCCCTATTATCTACAAACATGTAACCAGGATCACAAAATATCAAAATAAAAAATTATTGATGCAAGTTAAATGTATGTTATACAGCGACGACCAAGATGTTTAGTGTGAGGAGACCCATCATTTTGCAGGTAGGCTATAGAGTTACCATTGTTTATTCACCGACCACCAATGAGTCATGAGTTACGGAACCAATGAGTTAAATGTTCATTCCCCAAATGCCATTTTGTGAATAAAAATGTTTGAAACAAAGTTCAAGGTATCTTGCATTTAAAACGTTTTAATTATATAACTTACACCTGTATTTATGCTTAGCTATGCATTCAAAGTCTATGTTAGTTATTTCTGGGGCATCCTTAGTTAGGTTTGCATAATTTACGACCACTCAGCCACTAATAATTATGGATTATCAGGAGACTACTGTATTAAATATTCTGGTTTGAAATGAATGAATGAATGAAATGAAAAAGTGCTTTATTAACACAAAAATAAACTGCATAAATACATATGAACTTATAACTAAACACAATCTTCTGCATAACAACAACAAAATTACTCAAAACAGCACATTACAGCAATGGTCATAAGACCGTCTGCCGGGTTGACAACATTTTATTTTATACAACTAAAAATGTGAAATATTTGTAATAAGCTATAATATGTATATTGTTTTGCTGCTAGACATTGAATTCTAAAACCAAATCCCACCTATACTTCCAAGCCTCTTTAAGAAAATTTGCCAGCGAACGCCAATCCTTACCATTAAGAAAATCTATAAACTCTGAGCGAGTTATTTAAAACAGGTTTCAATAGCCATTTATTTCTAATTTGTGTTAAAATTGGACAACGAGCAACAAAATGATAAGTGTCCTCATTCTCATTTAGATTACACAAAGAACATATAAAATTAGCGTCTGTCATCCAAGGTTTAAAATTTAAGGAAATAGTCTCTGTCCTTACTTTGAATACCCATCGTCTAACAATATCAGGAACGTTATCTGATAGATATCCATTATCTCCAAGGTCAAGATTCAATGAAGCATAAGTTGTGTGGTATCGTGAGGCCAATGCCGCCTGGACTAACCCCCGCCTGCTCTCCCCCCTTACTGCCTCTACTACTGATAACAGGTGTCGCTGGGTATCCTCAATGGAATTCACATCAAAGGATAATTCAATTCCATGTTTACTTCCAAGACCCTTCCAATCTCTGCTCCAATAAATATTTTCGCTGATTATTCTCTTTGCTAATTTATTTGGTAGACGGTTCGGGGGCAGTGACAGAGCATGTATGATGTAACGAGCATGCATGCTGAGTGTATAAATGTACTCTTTTTCTAGTCCAGTTTCGAGATACAATGCATAGTTGGGAGTATTTTTTGCCAATCCTAAAATTTTCTTTACAAAATAACAAAGAATCCCATCTACATAATCACTTTCCCATAAACCCCATATTTGACACCCATAACAAAGAGTTGATCTGACAATTGAAAAATAAATAGTGAATTTTTTACTTAAAGGTACATTTTTGTTATTTAGAAATGTATTCCAAATACTGTTAATTGCTAATTTTGAAGAGCTGCACTTGTGTTTTAAATGCAAACCCCAGGATAGTTTAGAATTTAAGTTTATTCCCAAATATTTATAATCATTAACCACATCGATTCTTTCACCTCGAAATAGTATATTACGTCACTAGTCCTGAAAATAAGTGTTTACCGGACGAGTGTGGTCGTTCCCGTGCGAGACGAAGTCGAGTACGGGATTACCATACGAGTCCGGTACACACATTTTGGACGAGTTACGTACGATAGTTTACGCCATACTACTAAATCCATACAAATCCTTATATATTTCCACCAACTAAATGTCTAAAAATCACTAGTCATAACCTCTAAGAGAGGTTATGTTTTTGTTTATAACCACTCACTGCCACCTAAATACAGTATAATCAGCTGATTGGTGTCCGGTAAAACTCATTGCAGTACAGTATTACGCAATGAAACCCCATTTGATTAAGCTGGTGGCAAACAGCTGTTTTCTGGACTAAATCCTTGCGTGGGAAGTTCGTCAAAATAATGAAGTGTGGCGTAAATACCATTTGTCATTTTTCCTCAGTTTCCCTCCTTTCCTAAAAACCATGATCTTTGACTTACTTAAATTCACAGTCAAGTTCCATTGTTGACAATATCTCTCAAGGTCATTTATCATTAACTGCAGACTGGTTCCCGTCGGAGCCATCAACACAATGTCGTCAGCATATAACAAAGCCTTAATTTGAACATCTCCAAAAATGCAGCCTCCACTTAATGAATCTATAATGTCATTTACAAATAAGTTAAAACATAAAGGACTCAAAACATCTCCTTGTTTTAGACCGAGGCCTGTTTCAAAGTAGTCTGTTATTCCATCTTTACACCAGACAGCTGACGAAGTACCATTATATAAATCCATTAAAACGCGTAACATATGCGTAGATATACCAAGACATGATAACTTATAAAACAAAGCATTTCTATCTATTGTATCGAAAGCTGCAGTAAAATCTACAAAAAAAGTATATAATTTACCCTTTTTTTTACTGAGACACAATTTTGCAGCATTTGAAAGAATAAAAACATTATCAATTGTCGAATAGCCACTCCTGAAACCAGCTTGATATTCACACAGCTTATCATGATCTGTTATCCAAAGATTTAATCTGTTGTGCAGTAAACTTGTGTATAACTTAGCTACGCAATCTATAAATGATAAACCCCTATAATTTTGTGCAATGTTTTTATCACCTTTCTTAAACAGAGGATAGATAATTGATTGTTTAAAACTTTTCGGTACTTTATTAGTTTTGAAAATATTGTTATACAAATTCAGCAACTTAACTAAAAATGACTCTGAACCATTTTTAAAGAACTCGTAGGGTATTCCGTCAGCTCCTGGTGCCTTACCATTCTTTACTTTCAATAAAACTGTTTTTAATTCGTTCAAATTAAATTCTTTATCTAGAAAGTCGTTTTGAATAAGAGGAAGCGCATAACAGACATTGGCTGACAGCAGGGGCGGGTTCAAGAGACTCTTAAAGTGTTCTAACTATTCGTTTGGGCTGACTTGACCACCTGTATTAGGACTTTGAATATTAAAACTATTTATAAGTTTCCATAAACATTTACTGTCTTTAGCCTGAGTCAAAGATAAATACATATTGTCAAAGTAAGCAGTTTTTTTTGCTTTAAGTAAATTTTTTAATGATCTGTTGGCCTCAATATATTCATTTTTTATCTCAATTTCATCGCTTTTTCTGTACTTTCTCAATAGTTTAAACACATTGTGCCTAGCTTTAGCGCACTGTAAGTCAAACCATGGCTGTTTCCTTGCAAACTTGAAAGAGTTATTTGTATTTGACTTTACTTGTTTAACATGAGCTGACTCTGTAATGCATTGAATGAGACTCTTAACATTTCTTTCCTCGTCTATGTCCAATTGCAAATTTAAAGCAGCAGTGTGTATTCTTTCCTTAAAATTAAAATCATCAAAATTGGTCCACTTTAATCTTGGAAGTAAAGATAAAACTTGCCCCTCGACTCTGGAATCTAATTCTTTCCTTATCTTAAGAGTTAATTGTATTGGCAAGTGATCTGACCCAATGTACTCTATTATCTTAAAATCACTAACTATTTGTAAACAATGAATTGAAACAAGCGCTAAGTCTATCACTGACGCTCCCAATTTATTTATGAAAGTAAATTCGCCCTTAGAATCACACTTTGTTCTCCCATTCAATACAAGTAATCCAAAATCATCACACATTTCTAAAATTTTTTTCCCATTTACATTTAAAACTGTATCTTTTGACTTTCGATCATAATTTAGGCATGCATTGGTCAGTATATTAGTATCTTCAGTAATGTTTTGCTCACTAGAAATTCGACTGTTTAGATCTCCAATTACGATTAAATTTTTACCATTGTTACCATGGATTATTTCATACAAATTTTCGAAATCATTTTCCCAAGTGCTATAATTCAAATAAATTGGCAAAATAATAAATTCTCTATTATAGTTTTCTTCCAGTAACTTAAAAGCAGTTATATTTCTAAAATATTCAAACTTAATATTATTGAAGAATTTTGACTGTTTATTTATTCCTAAAACTATACCACCTGACTGTCTACCTAGTGTTGCATTTCTTACTGCAAATTTAAAATCTATCTTAAAGTTAACTAGTCTTTTTAAAACTAAATCATGTTGCTCGTGATTAATAAATGTTTCTTGTAAAAAAATTAAATCATACTCATTGACAAAATCTATAAATAAATTATCCTCTAGCTTATTTTTAAGTCCACAAACATTGTATGCTAATATACTAAGTTCCTTGTTCGCTCTGAAAGTAGTGACACTTACAGGATCGGCGTCCACTCCCTAGACCTTGGCACCTGGAGATGAAGCCATGGACTCCACCGGCGATGCTGTCGGTGTCGGTTTGGTCGTACCCGCCGCCGTCGACACGTGCTGCTGCTCCCTCGCCACTTTCGTCGCCTCCGCGTACGTTGTTCTCACACCTGGGTCTGTCCTCTTCCCAGGGCCCTTCTCAGCGAGATTCTTAAGAAAATCCGTGAAGTCCTTGCCGAGGATGTGTAGTAGCTTCTGCCCTCCGTCTTCTCTCCCAGCCATCAATTTATTCTCCTCCCAGGTGAAGCGAGTGTTCTCCACCTTCAGATGGTCATGAACGATCGGCATTCTGAGCTTCCCGGAGACTTTCTCAATTTCCGTACGGACTTCGGCTAGATAGGCGCGTTTCGTTCTAACCTCCCGAGTCAAATCTCGATGGACCACGTACCTGGTGCCTTTAAGGTCCCTCACATGAGCCATTATGTATTCAAGGTCATAGTCGTCCGGAAAATGCGCTATAATGGCTTTACCGTCCTTCCCCAAGGGGTGTGCGCGATTGACCCATAACTTAGACTTATCAGTTCCAAAATGCTCCGAACAGAAGTCCCTTATAATTTGACAAAAATCCGGTGTGCCACTCCACTTTAGTCCTCTATATCTAAATCTCTAAATATTCTGGTTTGTTTTGTGTTTTAAGTAGAAGGATAGACCTATTCAAATAAGCCAATTATCCCACCAACAACCCATGAAGGAAAATGTATTTATGAACGACACCCTACATCCAATTGTGGACCTACACCAATAACATTCTGTGGGTGATGCAGAGACAAGTTTAACAATGTGACTTACTTGTAGAATGTCTCCATGTTGGAAGGCCAGTCCGATTTCACGACAAGGTAGTAATGTGTCTTCTTTCGGATCATAATCAAACAAAGCTCTCATGTAGCACTGGAACAGATAAAGCGGATGAATTAAAGCACTACAAAAGTTATAATAGCTCACTGATCTTAGATATTTTGGTGAAGTGATTAACAAAACTCTTTAGAACCAAGAAAAGTACTGTACGGTTCAGTGTCAGCAACTAAGACAAGGGGGGGGGGACCTACCGGTAGGCTTCTCTGTGAATATTTGTTCTAAACTGTCGAATTAAAATTTAAGGTTAGAACTGCTAGAGATAAGTAGATTTAAAATGTCAAGACCTGTTGACTCTTTTGTCATGACTGTTACTCAAAATTACTCAATGAACCATGATAGGTGAGGCCAGAGTTAGAAACCTTCGTCCATTTTTTTTTTCAATAGGCTACCTGATATTTTTGTCAATACCTGATGGGTTTTCAGTGACTTGGCGTTCTCAGGATTTGGAGCTATCCTGAGTGTAACATTCTCCTTAGCCTTCATAACCTCAAACTGAAGTTCGTCGGGCGAGGTGACGGCAACATTGTTCACCTCCAATATCACATCTCCGGGGTGTAGTAGCCCTTGTCGTTCTATCACTCCCCCAGCCAACACTCTGGCTACGATCAGGTTACCATTCTCATCTACCTGCACTGTGAACCCCTGGAACAATACCATTAATGTACTGGAGGGGATGGGGTGTAAAACTGTTCTAGAACCTCGGCTTCAAGGCGCCACCCCGCTCATGAATGGCTGTTAATGTCATAAAAAAACAGTTCAAAAACCGTTTCAAGATATAACTCTCCCTATTACCTATTACCCTATTGGTTTATTTTAAACAAATCTGTATTTTTTAAACTGAAATAGATAGAAATATTCTGTTTGTGGCGTTGATTGTTAACAAAGAATCCATAATTTTTTACATCAAAAATATTTTTTAACCCCCCTAACAGGGTAGGGGGTGGGGGTGACTTATTTTTTTTATTTTATTACTGTCTATTTCAGTTTTGAAAATACAGATTTGTTTCAAGACTTAATTTCCACACTGTATATGAATTTGAACGGATGGTGTTTTGGACTCTAGGGACCTCAAAATGAAAAGTAAATTGGTCCCGGATCAAGGTCTTACCATCAGTACTACGTCATAGCTTATTCCCTTTATGGGAAATTCGCTAAAACTGTAATGTTGGTAAAATTTGAAGCAAATATGATCAACAAAATTCTAAAGTTATATTTCAAAATTATTGGAAACATTTTCTATCTCAATTGGAAAAAAATGAACAAACAAATTTTGCTTTTTACTAATCTTGAAGAAAAACTTCTGCAATCTTCAACGTTGGCTACCTCAAATGACTTACACTCACCACAGAAATGTACTTTGAACAAAGGATTCTAACATTAGTTAGCCTACTATAAACTGAAAACTCACCAATGGCTCTTTTGGTACTTTTCTCAACCCAACTATCCTAATCGGTTGAGTATTCATTTCTGACTTCCCGTTTGTACTCAGTTCAGAGATTTTTGGCTTAGTTTCTAGTTGACGTTTACTAATTTTCTTTTCTGCTATCCTATCGTGAGTCTCTAATAAGGCCTGAAACATAAATGTGGGACTTTAAAAACATGAAATATTATTGAAACCATTATGCACAGGCAATGAAATTTAATGAAATTTCTTGAGATTTTTTTTCAAAAATCTAACAACAGTTAAAAATGGATTAAAAGAACTTTTAAAACTAAAATGGACTAGGATGAACAAAAATCTTCATTTTATTTCTAGCGATCAGTATAATTTACAGAGATTAAAATACATAGGCCTACTTAATACAACACAGCAAAAAGCAAAAACATATAAAGCTCCAAGCTATGAAAAAGAGCAATAAATATTGACTTTTTCTATTTAAACCTAAGCCATGCCAAAAACATAAAGATGAAGGCCTACTTGTTTTAAGCTGAAATGAAGTTGAGAAGAAGCAAAAAATAAAAATTACTTTAACTCTGGGATAGAAACTTTTTCTTTTGAAAATCTTTTTGTTTTGCATTTAAAACAAGAATCTCAGTAAAAATGTAGAAGCCTGAAAACATAACCCACTCTAGGATTTTTAAATTAGGCTACAAAGGACTGAAGCTAAAAAACTTTATTTTGTCCCGAGAGAGTTGTTACTAACTATTTTCCAGGGTTTGTTTTTAGCTTTAATCAAATTTACAAATAGCTTATTTACCAAACATTTTCAACTACTGTGCCAAAATCATACGGAGAAACTTGTCAACATCACAACATTGCTTGCCTACAAAATCACAAACATCAAACCCACCTTAAAATGAGGTTTATGAAATATCCTATTCAATTCTTTAGCTTCATGACTTGGTGAAGTTTGGCACGACTGTTGTAATTCACTAACTAAACTTACACTCTCAGCTACTACAGGGTCAGGCGCAAGTTTTTGAGGCACTTCTAATTGGTCTTGAACCTGAAAAAAAATTTCTAGAGTTAATATAGAGCTTGAAATTTTACACAAACACCATGCTGACTTCAAATTGGGATCCTTTCTGTTATATATTAAGTTATCACTAGGCTATATAATTTGTATGTAAAAATAGTCAATAAAAGTTGTAGGTTATGCAATTGTTTTACTAAACCTAACCTAACCTAAGTAGACGACAATTAAAACATTTAAACTCAAAAACATATTGGTAGTAGTGATGTGGGCCGGGTAAATACCCAGTGGGTAGGTAAATATAAATTGGGTATTTACCCGGGTATTTACCCCAGGCCTGGGTTTATAATTTTTATTAAAGTTAGAGAAGATTGAGATGTATTTTTGCAATTATTACCCTGTAAGGATAGTAAAACGATGATAAAATGTGTTAAACAAAATTCATATGGTCACTACTAGCATTTTACTTCTGTGTATACTCGCCATAAATACCCAGGTCTGAGCATAAAGCATAATCGGCATAAATACCCTGGTCGCATGGTTGCACTTGTCCTGACTACTTATGATTTTTTAATTTCTATGATAGATAGATGAATTTCAATTTATTTTATTGAAAATGAATAAAAATTATTTTTAAAGTAATAATTATTATAACCTAGTAGTGGCCTATGTGTAAACAACTTAAGAAAATAATTAAAACTCAATCTGTAGGATGGCAGAATTTAATAATATTTTTGTTCTAGATCTTTTGTTGGTATCAATAGTATCAAAATAAAAAAACTAATTTCATAAACTTGTGATACAAAACATTTGAATCTATAGGCCCAGTAAATCTTTCAACAATTTCTGGATATTTATAAATTAAAATAATTATGTTTATGTTATTTAATTGGTTATAAATTTATAAAATGATAAAAATTGAAATAGCCACAGCCTTTTTAATAGGCTATTTTTTAGTAAGTTAAATTTTAACTGATGTTACTTGATTTAAGACACGAAACCCCATGCTTATTTAGAAAATGTATGTATTATTAAAAAAAAGGTGCTAAATCATTAAATAAAAGGTACTAGCAAAGCTTCAAGCTACTGTAGGCCTAAAAGGTGTTATCGACTATCCTAATTTATCATGTAATGATAATAATAACATATTTAGGGGTATATATAAATGAATTTCAATTGATTTCACAAATACCCAAAATACCCGGGTATTTATGGATTTTGGGTATTTACCCAAAATACCCAGGTATTTACCCCGAGTTTTAAATACCTGGGTATTTTACATCACTAATTGGTAGCCTTGTATTATAGAAGAGGTTCTTTAAATGTGGTGATCACTATTAAGGCCTACTTAGCTACACATGGTGCCGGTATGGTAGCTTACTCGTCGATGAGTACCTGGCCGGAATGAGGGGTCACACAACAATGTCCTGTGCTTATTCGCTGATTATCATTTGACAAGGAAGGACCTGAAGAAATGTTGTTGCTTGAAAGTGGCATAGTTAAGTTACTCAAATATGTGTATCAGGATGGGCCTGAATCCAGGTTGAAGGGGGGCGTTTTGAGATCTAGGAAAGTTTCAACTACCCTCAACTGTCTAACGGTCCAAATTCAAATCCAAAAACCCACAGTTCAAGAAATGAAACGGAGGAAGAAAGACCTTCCGTGACCCCGCTGTGTGTCTGTCATCAATTTGTCTTGATTGACCCAACCTCGTGTGTGTAAATGTGCTTTTATATACAGTTGGTAGCCTAAATATGTACTAGTGTTATTGATAAGAAGATAGCAGAAGACCCAGGGCTTAAGCTATGGTAGCATTTTGCTATACACAACTTAAAAATGCTACATTGTTTTTGCTGGCTATAGCAAATTTGCTACAAATAAAATTGAAGATGTAATGTCCAAACATGTAATATTAATGGATTTTTTTAATGCTTAAAGAATAATATTTTTGCTACAGTTGTCTGAGAGTTTGTAGCATTTTTGCTAAAACACATTTCATCCCAGCCTACCCTGAGAAGACCCCAGAGTATGCTGCAGAAGCTGGCTAAATGTATAGGGTGACATCTTACTTATGTATTCAAGAACAAAAGGCTATAGCAACCGTAAACAAAGTTAATCTAATCTTATAATTTCTAAAGTGTTTTTTTTTTTTTGTGTTGGCAGACCATAACTTCCTTTTACATAAATGAGGTGTTATTTTAAAGCTTTTTTACCCAATAAACTTACCCTAAGAAAGTATACCAATCACTCATTTTTCAGTAGTTTTTCATAAAAACTATCTATTAGGCTATATTATTCTGCTCAAGTAATTTAAACTTAAAATGTTTATTTACGTTATTCGATCAGCTGAAACATGCTGATTGTGTTGGAATAAAAACAAACAAATAATTATTTCGCAAATCCAAGGGTTTTGTTTTTACTTCATCCACGACAATCAACATACTTAGTCTGTGCTCTCTACGATAAATGGGTCACAACCCCGGTGATTAAATCAAATTATTCACTTTAAAGAAGTCAAAAGAAGAACAACTGAAAAGTAAGTAGGTACCGCATGGATTCTTTTAGGATTATATTTGTTTATTTACGATAAAGCCTTAATTTTGATACCTACCAACCATTCTATGGATAGGCTATTTAAGAATTCCATCTTCAAACATCACCTCTGATCTCTTACCTTTTCTTTACTTCAGGTTTCAATGAATAGTTATTTTGTGCCAAATTCCTTACTGACAGAAAATGGTTTATATCAGTTTTGATTTAGATCTTTACCAAGGGACGTAGAACGCTCCGTTGTATCTTTTCGATTTTTTAAGGTTTGTTAGCTCATAAACCCATGTTAAAAAGAACTCTATTATCATGTTGATGAGAAATCTAGGCATGGTCCAAGATTGGCTGTAGCTCTCTTGGGCACCTACACTATCAAAGCGAAATTGGCTAACTCAGGTCAAACTGTCATGGTACTCAAATAGTCCATAATCCTTTCAAACTGACTAAGTAGGAATTTCCCTTAAAAGTTCTTTGCCATGAAAAATTTATAAAGCAAATTTATAAGGCATATGGACAGACGCTAACGAGGAAAGGGTTGCACGTGCCAGACTCTGTTTTTTTACATATTCAGTTTGTGTGGCTTTGTCAAGGGTGTGCTTTTTCAGTGAAAACTATGTCTGTGTAAAAACAAAGCCATCAAAAAAAAAAATTGTATATGGCCATATTATTACTTCAAAAATAGTGTTCAAATAATGGGTCCTATAAACATGTAAAAACGTAAATAGCCTAGCTTAACATTATATTTTTAAAAGGTTACCGTAATTATCTAAAATATAAGGTCCCCTATTCCTGAAGTAAGAACCCATACTTTCACACGTTCAGTGCTAATAATTATGAGTACCTAGGCCTAACTTAAAAATTATGTCAGGGTATCAAAAATTATGAATCTAGATGTCTCAGTGTCGATTTTGGCTGAAGTTGGTGAATTCACTTCTGGGGCGGGAATTCCCTTGCTTAGGTACTGATACCGGTAGCCTACATACTTGTTCAACCCCTAAATATCTTTTGGCCCCACTGGCTCACAGTCACATAGGAAATATTTTTAGCGAATTTCCCATACTATAGGGAATAAGCTATTAACATAGGTGAAGAAAACATACTACTATAACCCAGAATGCCAACCGCATGGTAAAAAGCATGAAGTGTTATGAGAGAGCTTTTTACCATGCGGTTGACATTCTGGGTTATAGTAGTATGTTTTCTGTGCCGTAGGTCTCATGGTAAGACCTGGACCCGGGACCGATTTACTTTTTTGTTTTGAGGTCCCCAGAGGCCAAAAACACTATTAGTTCAAATTCATATAGGTAGTATATATATATATATATATATATATATTTATATAGGCTATGTGTCCGTTAGCACGATAACTCAAACAAAAATGATCTGATTTTGATGAAATTTGGTATAAATGTGTAAACCTACTGGGGGGTTTTATGGGGTAAAAATTGGTTTTTTTCCCATTTTGGCCCTAAAACATAAAATTTTGGAATTTATCTCCCACCATTTTGTAGAGCTTAAAAAAAGAAACAATTTAACTTAGTATAGGCCTATTGAAGCATTGTTGTATGCCTAATAATTACGGAGAAAAATCAAAAAAATGTAAATTTAAAATTTCTATGTTATTCTTGTGGATGTTGATAAAATTTGGCAAATTTATTTATTTCATCCTATACTAAGTATTGACGTTTGGTCAAAAAACCCTTTTTACATTCCCGTAGTGCAAACCTTTAAGCACTCCTTAAATCTAATGTTATTTAAATTGGGAAATATGCCTTATTTATAGAAATATTTTAGTAAAAATGTAATCAGACAAGTCGAAATTTGCTTTGTCTGCAGGTTTGCTGCGGCGGGGGTATTTTATATTCAATAGTTCTCATAACATCAATATTTGTATAAAATATATATTTACATCTTCCCACCGCCATTAGCCTACATGAAGTCTTTTGGTGTTAAAAAATTTCAATCACAAAATGTTTTCAAAAATTTTTTAATAGGCCTAGGCCTATGTAAAAAATATATTTTGTATGGAAATAATAAAAATTACATAAATAAATCATTAATGGAAATTGTACGAAGCACCCTACACAATATGTTGACTCAAAGACGATGCACCGATAAAGATCAGAACGGTAGACACGGAAACAAAGCGCACAAAAGGTTGAAGTACTTAAGTAAGAAGTAAGTAAGTACCGGTAAGTAAGAAGCAACACTTGTACAAAACGTGGCAATCGAAGACAACGTTCCCCGTGAGTGGCGAAGCTCACATTGAAGCAAGTTTGTTGGCATTGGAATAGGACGACATTTCCAATGACATTCAATCAATGATGCACTCACTACGCAGAATTAACTTTGTTGTGTACTGTACCGGTAGGCCTAAGTTTACCTCAAAAAAGTGGGATTAAGTTTAGAGAAGGATTTAGTGCCAGAATCCTTCGCATGGGTTTGCTAGAAGGCCTATAGCCTAATTCTAATTTGAGTTCTTGAAACTGGGATGGAAATTAAAATATGCTATGCTGCTTTAAAAGGACACTAAGTTAACTTAAATGAAAAACCCAAAACTTTTACAGTAGCCTAATTAGCCTTGTCCTAAGTAAAGTTATTTTGTCACTTGTGGCCAAATGTCAAACTCATAAAGTAACTCATAAAGGTGAGTTAACTTAACCTTGATTGTAGGCCTAACATCAATTTACTAAGTTACCTAGGGTAGGCCTAACCTATCCAAACAAAGAGATTTTACATTGCCCCGCATAAGTTAAAGAATAAATCTGATTGTTCATCATTCAAAAGTAACAGCAAACTTTCAAAACACAAAGAATAATTAGATACATTAACTCCTTTGCATTACCAATAAAGGTTAACCCTTGTAACAGGTTGTTGATGATTCTCAATCTCAAGGTTGGAAGGAAATTACTTTTAGCGAGAATTTCATCTTTCAGCCAACTAAAAGTATTATCCTATATAATTACCTTAACTTACAAGAAGTAAACATCACAGATAGTATTAATATTGCACGTTAACACGGATTGGTAAATACAGAAATCAACAAAACGTTCTCACAAACACAGCAGCCACTGGCAGCCAGCCTGGACAGCCCTGCCCAGCCCACTTTTGACAACGACGAACGACGACGCGTTCCGAGCTCAAGGAAGCAGCGAAGCGACATCGAACGAACGGTGGAGCAGGTAAAGCTGGCAGTGATGTCATCAATAATACTTTCCTTCGATCAAGCAGGCCATGGTAATATCAACCTGTGCTGTGAGTGTGTGATGTAAAGTTTAACGGATCTTTTGTCTTTGTCACAGAGAGCGTTTACAATAATTTTACACTACATTTTGATTTTCTGCGACAATTAGTTCAATCATTGAAAGAAACAAACCAACAAAATGCCGTTTATATAAGCATCCGAGTCATCGACTATGATGACTATATTAATTACAAACTGCAATCACTAAAATAATTCATCAGCTTTGTAGCCTTATAAATATATGTTATTGAAACTACATATTATTATTAATTGCCATGTAACCAATTAAAAGCTAGTCCACCCGTTTTCATCAAAGTGAAAATACAGTGAGATATAAAACAACTAATTTAGAAATCACATCAGACCAGACATAAAATACCTACTTTAAAATATTTTATCAGCTCGATGTTAAATTGTCTGGGCAGACAAATGGATTAACTTTGCTGTTGAATCTGAGGGTTGCACGGTTGCTTTGCTGGTTCGATTCCAACCCTCATTTGTCATAAAGCTATGATGCTATGAAGACACCTCCAGTCCATCTTGACTCTTAGGCAGTCAATTATTTTCACGTATGCCGTATGCCTATTTTGTATGGGAGTTTAGTCTTTTCCCATACAAAGTAGGCGTGTAAAAATTCTAACGACAAAAAATTTCAAAATACAAATATCTACAGAACATTTTAAACTATATCGTTTTTGGGCTGCTTTCCTGCTTGTTATTACGCTTTGCAGTCCAAAAATCTTCAACACCCCGTCCCAGGATCCTAAAACCAAAAAGGCTTCACGGATAATTTTTTTTTTGTTCTCGTACATGGAATTGTTTTTTTTTTAATTCTAGCTCTATTGCTATTATTAAATCAGCAGTGGGATTTTTACAAGGTTGTTAGCCAAGGTAAAAAACAAAAAAAGTGCGTCGTGACTTTACTGACTTTCCTTTTAAAGTAGCAACGCTGACAGGGTAGCCGAATTAATCGTAAAAATAACCGGATGGCCAATTAGAGGCCGGAAGTGTACTGTCCTTAGTCATAGCTTTACAAGGCCGTGATGTTTTGAGGGAATTTCGCTGAATGGCAGTGACCAGTTGTTGTGGGAGTTCACCTCAACACTTGACCCTTTACAATAGTAAACCTTGTTTGTCTTCGCATGTTTCAAGGGTGAGAAACAGTGTCTATTGTTCAAAGTTATAATAACACGAGGAAAACCAGGGCTGGCATATTTTGTCCGTTTAACAAATGAGAAAAGCAATTAGTGTTCAGGAGGGAGTCTAATTCTCATTTATGGAAAGAGGAAAAATAGTAATAATTTGTTTTAAAGGTGTAGGACAAAATTGAGTAGGTAACCAAATTTTTAATATTAAGGAATTTAAAATTCGATTCTTCATCGGATTAGAAAAAAACAAGTGGGGCCTAAAGAAATATTGAGCACATGGGGAAAAAGATAAAAGAGCAATAAACAAACCAGAAAAAAATCCAAATACAGTACACTGTAAGCTATGAAAAAAGCTATAATAGCACGATAATCCATTATTGTTAATTTTTGCTAATTACACGCCCTTTCTTTATCGTTTCACCAACTTGATACTGTTTCAAACAAATAATATAAATCGAGATATTTATAAATTATTGTTGTTCCTCTGGTGTTATAGCTATTATAGCGAAGGAAATACTATACAAGTTACGCTAATATAAGAGAAAAAGTTTAGTCGATAATTAATTACAGTAGTTATTAATACTAATTTCGAAGCATTCGACAATGAAACGGTCATAAAAACAACGGAGTGAAAAGTGTATTAATAGTACTGAAAGTCTAGGATAAAACTGTGTTTATTATGTAACATCAAAATATAAAAATTATCTACAATATTTTTTTAATTTATTTCAGGTCTTGACGGTCAATTCTGGAACGCCTTCAAATACCCGAAAGCACAGCCACAACTAAGTAATGTAACTACATAGCTCAATGATAAAATGAAGGGGCGTTCATCTATTGTTTAGATGAAAAAATAATATTTCATTTTCGTTTTTTAATCTAGAAACTAATCAATGAAATGTATAACTAAATTTAAAATTTTAAAAAGGCCAATATATAAAAACACAGCCTGGACGATGGGAACATAGTTTCCGAAAGCGCTTGTGATTAAAACAATTTATTTTATATTGGCCTTTTTGAACTTTTTAAAATTTAGTTATACCTTTCATTATTCATTGCCAATATTTCCAATATAAGTTATAAAGAAAATAATAGTTTTTTTTTTTAAACCGTGCGATATTTGGGCTTATATTGTGTTATATTGTATTGTGTATAAGTAAATTTTTTAAACATTTCTTCGTGTTTGTTACTCGGCATTTGCGCAAGTACCCCTATCTGGTCCGTTCCGTTTAATCGCAAAACGTAAGCTAGTAAAACACTTTTCAATGTTCTCTACAGTCTACATATTCCATTGATATGGTTTTCATGTTACTCAACACTGGCCCTTGTTCAAGTTGTTTCCTGTTATTCTAACAGGAGAAGAACGTTTTGTTGGGTCCATATTTTTTTGTACTAAACGCTAGGCACGAGCCAGGGATTGTTTGTCACATTACTTCAGGCTAGACCAAGGGGTTGCGGCAATATCACTTGGTGATTTGGCGGGTTTTGAATCCAGGACCGGGCTCTAACCACTAGACCAGCTCGCTGTGGAATATAATAAATAGCTTTTGTGAGAAAGCCAGTACCTGCACTAGGTTTCTCAGCACGGTGTTGTCCAGCAGCTGGCGCAGGAACAGCAGGTCCGTTTCGTTGGCGTCCAGACCGTCCATGTTGTCCCTCACATGTAGGAACGCCTCTGAAACCAACAAAAACACAACAATCAACATCAACAGACAACAAAGATCGGCCAGGTCCAAATTCACCAACATTTTTGGGGTCGTTTCTAATGTCCAAATTCACCAACTTTCTACCTTTAGCAGGTACGATATTTCTCCCGGCGGGCGGGGAAGGAATTCCCTCCGAATAGTTTGCCATCGCCTGCTCCGTCTCGTCTTGGCGAGAGTGTACTGTAACCTAACCTAACCTAACTTAACCTAACCTAACCTAACCAAACCTAACCTAACCTAACCTAACCTAATCTAACCTAACCTAACCTAAAGCTGCCTGAAACAATCACAGCTTAAACAGTACTATTAGGGCTAAGCAGTACACTCTCGCCGAGACGAGACGGAGCAGGCGAGGGCAAACTATTCGGAATTCCTTCCCCGCCCGCCGGGAGAAATATCGTACCTGCTCCAGGTAGAAAGTTGGTGAATTTGGACATTAGAAACGACCCCAAAAATGTTGGTGAATTTGGACGTAGCCCAAAGATCTCACGTCCTTGACTACACAATAGCTGCGTTATTAACACGGAACATTTATAATTGATAAGGGTTGGCCAAGCTTGCAAATGTAGGGGTTTTGTGAGTGGTAAACGGGAAGAGCTCTGAAGATGGAGGATTGAATCTCAATGTGTACGCAAAGGAAAAATAAATTTAAGGGTTGGAAAAGATTATGTAAAATTCGGCCAGTACTAAAGACACTCTAAACTACCTCTTAACTCATTATATAGTAATGAATACACATAGTACATAGTAGAATACCGTAGTACATTCTGTAGTACGGGGTGGCAGAATTGTACACTCATGGATTTGTACCCCACCCAGGTTAGTGACGTCACGATGACGTCTTATTTTCAGGTTCACCTGGAGGCTATGTTTCAAGTCATCGACCACTTAGGGTCTCAATTTTAAGGGGGTTAAATTGCCTTTTTGAGGATCTCTTTGAAAAAAATACAGTAAAAGCAAGAACAGTAAAAATTAAATTTTGATCGAGTAGAAACTACGATTAGAACATCAGGACATAACCCCCAAAAGAGAATACAAGGAAGGATTGAGGTGGAATGCCTGATCAACTACGGGAACTTTGAAAGAATTCGATTTTTTTTTTTTGTTCTCCTCCGCAGTTATCAAGATTGGGGGAGGCGTCATCTTTTTCTTTATCTTCTTAGTTATTGCTTGTTTTTTTTTATTGTCTTCTGTTAAAAGTATGGTCATCCAGGAATTCATTCAAACTGTAGTAGGGTCGTTCGAGGAGATAGTTTTTCAGTTGGTTAGCAAATTTTTTTGGGTCTGTAATAGCTTTTAGCCGATGTGGTAGTAAGTTGTAAAGTTTCATCCCTCTACATGTTGGGGTTTTCGCTGTTTTTTCTAATCTATGTTGCGGTAGATTCAGATCGGTTTTTTCCTGGTGTTGTAGTTATGTGTTTCTGATCATTTAGTGGGATTCAGTTTCATTGTTTGGGTTATCACTTCAATCAAGTATAAGGATGTTAATGTGAGAATTTTGTTTTTTTATAAAAAATGGTTTGCAATGTTCTTGATAGTGGGTATTATTTAGGGTTCTTATTGCTTCTTTTTGTAATATGAAAATTGATTGAAAAAGGTCTGTACTTGCTGCACCCCAGGCAACAATTCCAAAGCGGAGGTGTGATTCTATGAGTGCATGGTAGGCAATTTTAGCTGTAGTAAAGTCGGTTAGGTTAGTTATCCTTCTCATAGCATAGATTGATGTAGATAGTTTTTGTTTCAGTGAATTAATATGGTGTTCCCATTTTAAGTTTTCGTCTATTTCTATTCCCAGAAATTTGGTATGGTCTGATCTGTTTGGGTTTGAGTTACCTAAAGGGGTTTTTTTGGGTTTGATTTGCAGGAAAATTCTATTTTAACAGTTTTGGCGTTATTGACTCTAAGGTCTATTGATTTGCAGAATTGTTCTATATATGTTTTAAGATATTTTCTATTCCTCCGTTAGTTATGAGGTGATGATCTCGAGGGATTAGTACTTTGGTGTCATCGGCAAAAATAATACAGTCCATTCCTGTTGGCAGGTTTTCTGGAAAATTGTTCATATATATGATGAATAGGAGGGGGCCGAGGATGCTTCCTTGTGGAATTCCTTGGGTCATATCTTGAAGTTTAGATTTGGTTTTAAGTTCAATGTTGTTTTTTATGTAGCCTATTTCTACTTGTTGTTTTCTATTTGTGAGATAACTTTTGATCCATTTTTGAGCGTCCTGTTTTATGTTAAGTGCATTTAATTTACTTATAAGGGTTTTCCAGTTTAGACTGTCAAATGCTTTTTCTATGTCCAGTTATATTCCTATGACATTGTTATTTTCTTCCCAGTTTTTAGCGAATTTCCCATATAGGGAATAAGCTATTACCGTAGTACTCATGGTAAGACCTGGACGCGGGACCGATTTTTTTTTCGTTTTGAGGTCCCTAGAGGCCAAAAACACCATCCGTTCAAATTCATATATATATATATATATTTATATATTTATATATTTATTTATTTATATATTTATATATATATATATATATGTGTCCGTTAGCACTATAACTCGAGCAAAAATGATCCGATTTTGATGAAATTTGGTACAAACGTGTAAACCTACGTTTATTCGAACGAGTTCGCGATCCAGCATGATCGGACCATGGGAACGGGGGTTTACGGGGGGTTTTATGGGGTAAAAATAGGTTTTTCCTATTTTTTACCAAAAAAAACATAAAATTTAGCAATTTCTTTTCAAACCATTTTGTAGAGCTTAAAAAAACAAATAATTTAGTATATTGAAGCGTTATTGTGCGCCTAATGGTTATGGAGAAAATTCAAAAAAATTTTAAATTTAAAATTCCAATGTTATTCTTATGGAGAATAAGTAAACTGTTGTAGTTTGCTTGTTTATTAACATATTTTGATCAAATTTGGAAAATATTTTTATTTCTTACTAACTATAAACATTTTACAAAAAAAGAACAGTTTTACCCTCCCTGATGCAGCAAACCTAAGTACTTGTTAAACTAATTCTATTTAAATAGGGAATAAATGTTATATTTTTAAGTAGACATTTCAGTGTAAATCCAATCAGTCAAATGGAAATTCGCTTAGTCTGCAGGTTTGCTGCGGCGGGGGTATTTGTTATAAAGTCACAGAATTGAAATACTGCTGTAGTAATGGATTTTTGAGGTCTAAAACCATGTTGTTTTTCAGTTATGAGGTTGTTTTCATTCAGATGGTCCATTATCTGGTTAAAAATTATTTTCTCTATATATTTTGAGAAGGTGGGTAGTATTGAGATTGGCCTGTAGTTTGTTTTTAAATTTTTTTCTCCTTTTTTTATACTTTGGGTAAATTGTTGCTATTTTCATTTTATCAGGTACATGTGAATTTAGGATTGAACTGTTTAGTATAGTAAGGCATTACATCTTTTGAAAGTCCTTGCGTATTGTCAACAATGAAGATTTTCATATGTAAACCGTTCATAATTAACTACATCGAGAGACGGACATATAAGAAATAATACTATACCAAAATTACATTAATGCTACATTTGAATTATTCCAGTTGAGCGTCTTGTATCGATTTCATCCTCTTTTCTACATCCTAGCCACGCCTCTGCAAATTCTAGCGATTTACTTATGGTCTACGGACAGAACGACTTTCTTGTCTACCAAACCACTTCTACTCTCATTTACTTTCTCGATCCGAATGTTTGAGAGGGTCATACTCCTGATTCCTTATCAGCAAATGTTTTTCATATGTATTTTTAAGAACAATTTGGTATCTAATTAATTATGCTAGCTGTCGCGCCATTTTCATTAGACAGGAAATCTAACTAACAGTAATAGTTAGGCCTAAGTATCTCAATTATCTGGCATCATTTACTAAACTAACTATAAATCCAGTCTTAAATGACTATGTCTTGATCTGTATTGTTTCCCTAATGTAGACTAATAATGCGTTCTGTTTTTATGTACATTTTACAGTGTATCCACTTATACACAACCCGCATTTTATTTTATTTTTACTTTTTACGCTTACAAACAAAATCGGAAGTTTTGTCCGCAATTTCATTATCAAGATTTACCTGTTGTATAGAAACAAGCACGGACATAATGAAGGAGGAAATAGGGAGAGAGAAAGAGATACACAGAAACGTGACAGAATAAATTACCGACACCCGAGACGACCGTTCCACTAGGTGAAGACAGGGAGGCAATTGTCCGTGTGTCACCGCAGAGAGCTTAGCGGGTCGTGGAGTTCGTTTACAAAATACATAATATAACAAGCACGGACATTCTCCTCGCTTATCCTCGATCCTAGAGACGTGCAGTACACACAGGAAAGCCGGGACGTACGCTGGTAGCAGGGATGGTAGCTTACTCGCTTACTGCTTTAATTCAACTGTTGACAACCCGCACACCCACACACCACAGAGCCTGGCTGCGGTTACCCAAAGGGTGCATGGACTTAGATAGTTAGAATTATAATTATTGATACACCGATTGTTACATAGCTAGAAGATATGTAAACGGTTTTGCAGACGCCACTCGCCTATTCCGTTCAATAAAGCACATATCAAGCTGCTGGCATTTGATTTTATTTTTCCATTTATTTTTGTGAAAGTTATTTGCTCATTTAATGCTGTAAAAGCTGTTCACGATCATTGGATTTTTTCACTAAGCTAGAAATACGACTTGGAGGCATCATTGACCCGGCAACTCTGCTAGAAAATAGAGTAAAATGATTTTAGGTTGTTACCAACTAGGGGAATCAGCTCATCAGCTCACAACCCCCTAGTTCAAATATACTAAGTACAAAAATAGTCAATTTACCTTTGACTATTGGAAGGCTACGATATCAGTATACAGTAGTCAATGGTACAACATACCTTGCCTCCTAGATAGGGAACGTCTCGCAATTCTCTCATTCGGTGCTACCTCAGTTGTATCTATTAGCTTAAAATTTTTA